TTGCATTGTGCCCTCTAATGACTGACGTTGCGACGGGGCTGTCGAGCTAAGAAGGGAAACAGTGTGAAAGTGAACTGGGATGTAAAGACCCCGTGACAAAATGAAAAATGGTATGAGAGGGCTTTGCCGCTTAAATGAGTCAAGAGCCGTGTGAATGCTTAAAGGGGTGAGACGTACTGGGAATTGTGTTTGTGTACTTAGTGATGCTCCAGAATGACCCAAGTGGGTACGCCTTACAGTTAAATGTAAGTCGAGGTGAATGAAAAGGGAGGAAAAAATGTCCTCTTTCCCTTGTCGATGCATGGGGGTCACATTCTGCCTTCAGAAAGGTGCTGAGATGCCAGAGAAATCCCCGAGGCTGGGTATATCATTTCCCCACTCTGCCCGGGGTCCCAGCAGAGCTGCTGGGCTGGTTTCTCGGCCCCAGTGCCCAGCTGCTCTGTGGCACCACGGGGAATTTACAGGGCACCGCAGCCTTGCATCTGGCCGTCCTACAGCTCTTACAAGCATTCATTTTGCCCGGTGTGGACAGTCTGTTGGCTGTTTTTCACCTGCTGCCACTTCTGGTTTACTTCTATTACCCCTTCTTCTTGTCCTGTCTTTCTCCTATTTTCAGCTGTCATGGTATTTCTTCATAACTAAAAAAAAAAAAAAAAATACCTGTCTGCCTATGGGCTGCAAGAAAGGGCTTGCTAATATTCACCTTCTTTTGGTGTTTGCAACGCATAAAAATCTTTTCTGTCATGCTGGAATTACGTAGAAGAAAAAAGAGATTTTCTTCAATGGGATAAAGCTAGGATGGAGAGATTTTCTTAAAGCAGAGCTGTTTTGGGGGGTAATCATTATAATGCTGTTGAAAGAGAATAAATACATCAGCCCAAGGCAAGGTTTTTGAAGCACTTAGGTCCAACTTTCATTACATTTTGGGGAAAGAAGGTATTAACTAAACAGTTACACTGAGAAACAAGTTATTGAAGACCCCGTTTCCCTCCTCTCGCTCGGTTAAGACTGGCCATTTAGCAGTTTAGCTTGTTTGTTAGTGGGTCTGTGCCCCGCTCTGCCTGGCTGAGAGGGGTCAGGGCCACCGTGGGACCTGGGGCGACCTCAGAAAGGCAGAGTTTTCTCGGGGTCCAGCCCATTTGAGTAGCACCGCTGTAAAGGCTTGGCACTGCCAGAATTGAGAACCCTGCTGCCTTTTCCAAAGCTTGCTCCGAAAGACAGGAGCTTGTTGCATCCCGTACCTCTGTGGGTGCTCACCCAGATGTGAATCCTGCTGGGATTACGAGTCCCAAGCCCCACAGCGAGCGAGGACACACAGGTTTGGGAAGCGTGGGGGACAGCCTGGGCTACAGAACAGTCATCCCAGCCCACGCCAAGGTGAGCAGAGGTGGGGTGCAGGATCCAAACTGGGATCTGGGCTTGGGAGAGAGCATCTGGTGAAGACACTACTGCATCTGGTTGGGATAAACCCTGGAGAAAAGGAGACTGCAAAGGAGGACCCTTATGATAAGGGCTGGGAAGACGGGGTTCCTTCTGACCCAGGCTGCGACAGCACCCACCGAGTCAGCTGGGGAGCCCAAACCTACGGACCTCCGTGCTGGTCCTGCGCTCGCCTTTACGCAGAAGTCAGAATCGCACTGTTCTGTTATTTTTTAAGCTTTTCAGCCAGACCATTCATTTCCTTCTCCCCGGGGTCATCGTACTTTCACAAGCAATCAATACCAGGAGCATCGTGTCCCGCTGTGCCTCAGGGTCTATCTAACACCAGCTGGCTCAATTTGCACCATCTCCGAATTTGGCTCTTTTGCAGCACTCCTTGCCACAGCGTCTGAGAGCCCTCAAGCCTGCCGTTGCTGCAGCAGTTTTTCAAGTTTATAAAACCTCTTTCTTTAGGATTCACATGCAGATTAACATTAATAAGTTGGCGCACAGCTATTTAGGGGTTTGCTTACTAGCTCTGCATGCCAAATTAATGGCTACACGTCAGGTTCTTGGGTACCCATCCTCTTCTGTTGTATTTTCACCCACCTCCCCCTATTCTGGCAACACTCTATTATACAGTACTTGGGCTTTCAGAAAATGCAAGCTCTTACGCCTTGGGACCGTGAATGCTCCTCAGCAGGGAGTTTTGCCTCACTCGCTGTTGGTGTCTTGGGATGCTTAATCCTTTGAGAGTTTCTTAGGTGCTGCTGAGTTTCAGAGTCGTACATTATTAATGCTGAGCAGCTGCTGGCTGATTGATTGAGTCCCCACTGATGCTTTGTGCGGCTTTGGCAAGGGGGACGCTGAATTTGAGGGGAGAGGCTGTAGGCTGCGGGCACAGGCAGGGGGAGCACGCGTCCCCGCAGTAATCCCAAGAGTCCCCGTGTCTGAGACATACCCCTGTTTGCAAGTCTTCTCCCGTGTCCTTCTGACTTTGGCATCACGATTACCAAAGCACCAAGGGACCACCCGGGTTTTGACCATGGCACCCTCTGGCTCCCTCAGGTCACCTTCCCCTCCTGATCACGGACATCCCAGGTCTGGTGGGTCCCTCTACCCTAAAAGCTGGGACAGGCCTGTGAGGAACAAGCTGAAGGATTTCTCTGGCCACAGATGTGGTTCAGGCTACTACAACCTGTTTAGTTTAGCCCTAACCACTCAATCACCAAAGGGCTTGCAAGAAAGCCCTACGAAAAATGACATCAAAGAGTTAGGGCTCCATCAAAACCACCAGAAGATGACCACGCGACCAATACAGGTTTAACCAATTTCTGTTTTCATGCAGCTGGATGCTTTTAAATGTGTGTGAAGTAGCTCTGTAACATTGGTTTGTGCACAGACTTTGCCTAAAAAATATATGAGAGAGACAAATTTTATTGAAGAGTGATCATTTAGGAAAGCAAGGCATCTGAGAGTTTGAAGAATGTTTTGTAGGTGGTAGCAAAAATGAAAATATGAAAACACAAGACGCCCTTTGAGAACTAAATATTCCCTCTGCAAATTTGTTTTGTTTCTTTTCTGTATTTGCTTCTCATTCTTTTCAAACATTAGCCCATATTTAAGCATATATCAATCTGATAAGCCAGACAGACCAACTAGTATCTGTGGTGAGACCAAGTGATATCTGTGATGAGGCCAAATAGCACAGAAAGCGATATTATCTTAGTATTTGTGCTTTAGCTTAGATGCTTGCGCATTCCGTCTGATTCCATCCGTATCTGTCCATTGCTTACGCAGTCCAGTTGCTGCACTGAATTTTGCTTATTCCTGCTTTGATGAGTCAGACATTTTAATAAGGCAGGAAAGTATCCTTTGAAAAGTTTTTGGAAGATTTTGCTATTTGCATTGCTGCTGAAAAGTCTTTTAAGGCCTTTCAAGGTCAGTTTTGAAGTTTCTGTACCTGTTACATCTGACCCCTCTGAGATAGCAGCTGAAATCTATTCATTAAAAATAAATAAATCAGGAAGTCATCATCAGCCAGGCGTGTATGTGGGGGGGGAGCGTGTGTGTGTGTGTGGACCTACGTAACAAGCAGGAACTGTTTACAACATGGTCAAGTTCCTCTTCTGTTTTGTTTAATGTTCAGGTTTTTCACAGGAACCTTTTTCGTGGCAGGTCTCGGCAGCAAGTCATACAGTTAGGAACAGCACACTTGTAAAACCACAAGTTAAACAGAGTGGAAGGCAGCATTTTTCCAGCAGCAGTTAAAGCCATGCCCCAGCTCCGTTGCCGGATCACCAGGCATCCCGACCGCCCTGCGTCTCTCCCGATGCCGAAAGCAGCCGGTGGCTGGTGCAGCTCCCCAGCTCCGTCGGTTTTATGGCAACCCGCGGCACGAGCGCTGGGCCTCGCTGGCAGGGCGAGCTGAGGTCTCTGGCTCGTTACTGAGCAGCAGGAGAAGCCGAGCCGTGCTCAGTTTATTGCTTTTCTTTCTCCATCACTTTCCCTGTGACTGGTGAAGGAAGGGGCACCAGCGTGGCGAGGCACCGCTCAGCTCGTTTTCCAGCAAATGCAGGATGCCGGTCATGCCTCAAGGCTGGCCATGCATCAGGTAGCTGGAGAGTCTTGCAGCTGAAATGCTTTTAATAAAACTGTATTTAAAAGCAAAACATCGAGCAGAGTAAAGCCGCAAGCACAGGCAGCCACCAAAATAGCTACGGTAGGTAGATGCCCACCATGGTCCATGGGAAAAGGCAGGGCCTTCAGCCTTGCCACAGAACCATGCTGCTTCAGAGCTTGATTTCATCGCATCTAAGGGCTGCCGGGCTGCTCTTGCCCTCTGGCTACGTTCTGTTTTCTTTGCATTTGCCAACAGCGTGAGTAATGCCAGCGGCTGAGAGGGCAGCTGGCACAAAGCGTGCTACGCTGGCTTTTCATCTCTAATTACCCCCTTACACCAGGCTGTCTAGCTGTTAAATTATCTGTCACGAACATATCCGAGTATAGTCATTCCTGGTCCTTGTGCTATCCTTGGTTCTTCCTTTGCGGGGCAAAAAATCCGCCTAGGATGAGTAGATATCTGTGTTTCAGGGGCTTGAATTTCTTTTTTCTTCTTCTTAGTTATGTTGGTGATGGCTGGGCACACAGAGCTGGGTGCTCAGGTTGTGGGTGCTATTCCTGCAGTACTGCAAAGGTGTATTCATGTTTAGGAGGGAGAAAAATAGAAAGGTTTTACAGTGCTTCCCAAGGATGCTTTGAATATTGGCTTTTTTAAATCTCTCCTGGAAATTCATGCTGCAGCTGGAAACTCTGCTAAAGATCCTTTTAGATCTCAAAAAAATTAAAAAAGGTATGATTATACAATACCATGACATGCAGATCCACAAATACTAATCTAATTGAAAGCGTAACCGCAGAATATTTCCCTGGACATCAAAGCAGACGTCACACGAGCCCTCTTTCTAGTCTATGTAATAGCATGTAGCTGGTGCGGTATCTCCTGTACATGGGTATTGCTCGTGCCCTGGAGACTCTTTGGGCTTTGCTGTGGGTGATCCTTGCTCTCTTCCCCCTCCTAGGTCCATGGGAAATGCATGTGCAAGCACAACACGGCCGGGTCCCACTGCCAGCACTGCGCCCCGCTCTACAATGACCAGCCTTGGCAGGCTGCCGACGGCAAAACCGGAGAACCCAAAGAGTGTCAATGTAAGTAGCCAGCCAGGAAAAGTGTTTTGCAGAGCCTGTGCCGGAGTGGAACGGTTCCTCCTTGGGTGCCTTTCTCGGGTGTTTTCAAGAGGCAGCAGATACTGGGGTGGTGGGTAGGTGCTTGCGAAGCGGTTCAGAGAGCGGAGACCCAATGCCACGCTCCTGCCCAGCGCCCACCGGGCATTCGTACGGCAGGGACGGTCCTGTTTGTGCAGCCCCTCACTTGGAAATCCTCACGAGATCGTGTTGTCCGGTTTGGCCTTTCTCTGGGACCCAAGCGCATCTCCTTGAGAGATGGTCTTCTGCTGCGGGCAGGCTGCGGCCGGCCAAGCTGCCTTGGAGGTGACGGTGGGCCGGAGTTGTCCCCTCCACGGGCACCGCTGACAAACTCGTTTGCGGGAGGAATGGCCTTCTGCTGCTGGACGTGGGCTCTGCTCGGCCGCGGGCTGTGGGGAGGTTTGAGGATTACTTCTGCGGTGCCGGGGAGGGATGCTCGGGGGGAGCGCGGGCTGCAGGGGATCACAGGGATCACAGGGCGACCTGCTTCAGTAACTAGGAGTCTAGCCAGAAGGGTGCTGAGGATTAACCACAGCATCCCAGGAAGGTTTGCAGGCATGCCGAGTGCTGTCCTGCCGTGGGTGCGAAGCTATCGACACTTAAGCTAGCACCAGCCTGCCTATGCGGGCTGCGGTCACCTGTACTGGAAATAAAAGCGTTAAATAAATTATTTTTTCTTAAATGTCACCTCTAGAGGTTGGGAAGCATGGGTGAAAACGTGATGATACTTGATGCATTTGAATGAATAACAGGTTCATAGGCCAGGTCTCCCACTCCAAAGCGTGGTTTGGGTTTTTGTGTCTCTTTTCTATAAATCAACATCTTTCACTGCCTTAACGAGTCTTGCTGTTCCCTTTCGCTTTGTCTCAGCGTGCAAGTGTAACGGGCATGCCGATACTTGTCATTTTGACATGGATGCGTGGCTGGCATCGGGCAATCGCAGCGGTGGCATCTGTGACAACTGTCAGCACAACACGGAGGGGCAGCACTGCCAGCGCTGCAAGCCGGGCTTCTACCGCGACCTCAGGAAGCCTTTCTCTGCCCCAGATGCCTGCAAACGTAAGTCAGCCACCTTTTACCAGTAAGATGCTTCTCAGCTGGGAGGGTGTCAAAGGAAAGGTGAGATCTTGAGGCTCCTCCTTGGAGCAACCTTCTTGCTTCAGCCAAGGATGGGGAGATCTCAATTCCCTTTTTGATGCTGTTTGCAAAAAGCAATGGTGCGGTTTGCAGGGCGAAAGCCTGCAGATGCTGTTGACAAATCTGTCCCAAGGATCCCCGTAGCCTGGGGGCAGGGGAAGAGAGATGATTCATTGACTTCTCCTACTATTTTTGGAGAGTAAAAGCTGCATCATGTCTGCCAGTTCTCCTTCTTTGGCGATTGCCGCAACCTCAGAAGCGGGGTGCCCCAGCCAACTGCAGGGTGCAGCTGGTACATAGCATCGCCCACCGGCGCGTGTTCGCAGCAGCAGCAGGTGGGCATGGAGGGAGAGACGGGAACACGAGCTGAGTGATATTCCAGAAGATGTGACACTAAGGAGGCCAGGCCAAAGGCAATGACTCGGCCACATGTGAAATTAAATATTTCCCAAGCAAAAGCAGCGATCCAAAAGCCACGCTCCCCAGGGACCACTGTGAGGATGGTGACTCACCGTGGGGGACTCCGGATCCCCAAACCACGCTGAGCACTTTGCACTGGTCAGCTAAATATAGAGTGCAGGCATGCTTTCTGCTCTGAACCTCCAGCCACCCACCGGCTTCACCAGCTTTCTCCTCACTGACCCCAATCTGGAGGAGAACCTTCATGGGTGGAAGAAAAAAATCCAACAGACACCCTACTTGTGTCATTTGAGGGGACACTGAGCACATCTCTCTCCTCCAAAGGAGAATTATCTGCGTTTAAAGGAAGAGAAACTCTTCTGGGGTGGGGAGCTGCACCCGGGAGGGTGCGTGCGGTCTCATTTTTGTCTGCCGCTTTTGTCCCATGCTTTTGCTGCACATCACCCTCGTGAGACTGCCGGCGTCCCTGCCAGCCTGTCACTGAAGTTCTCCTCCTCTCCACCTTTAACTCGTTGCAAGGAGGAGCAGCAACAGCTGAACTGCCTGTTTTACAGCCCTAATTCTCTTTATGAAAATAGAATTGACCACAATTCTCCGTTACTTGTGTAAATAATTATTTCACTGCTGTAGTATGTACACAAATTTGTTTTTTTAACCAGTGAATTTAATGACTTTTTAAAGTTCCTTTAGCTACTTGTGTACATGGAAGTTCCAAGTCTCCTTCTCTGAAACATCAGATACTTTCCCTCCATAATTATTGTCAGAACTTAGGCAACGAACTTTTGGTTTGGAGTCTCATTAGTAAAAAGACAGGTTTAAATCTTGCACTTAGACCCAAAGCAGGGGCTTGAGAGTTTTTTTCTAACTAACTCATGGATTCAGCCTTGCTGATTTAAAAAAAACAATTGGATTAATTGACTCCTGCTAGATAACACAGGATGAATGACTGAAATAAATTCTGTACGGGACTCTCAAGCCCTGCAACATGCTTTTACTGGGGTTGCGCTAGGATTTCAATTCCTGATGCTCTTTACGTGCCAGCTCCCATCAGGGAAGAGCGTGCATTTTTCCAAGGCCATTGAAGCCAAGTCAAGCTTTGGCACTGATTTGAGTGCAGTCTTCTGGAAACCTAAAAATAACACCCTTCACCTTGGAAGTGGTAGGAGTGGCCGCCATCTCCTGTGACATCTCATGCAGCCCATCGAGGAGATGGAGTTTCACAAGGGACCCGTCGTAGGATTCTCCTGATGCCAAAACGCCCGGTGCAAATCCTGTGGCCATTTGGAGGGTCAGAGACAAAGTCAAATGGGACGTCCTGGGCTGGCCAGCATGGAACCTCCTTCCTTGCAAAACCAGATGGAAACAGAGGTCTCGGGACTTATTGCTGCAAAACAGCCACAACTCGAAGGGAAGGCTGCCAACAGCGTGTGTGTGCCTGTGTGCAAGTTAGACCGGCGCTAATGAAGTCAGGCGTTACGCCACGTCATTAGCTATATGTTAGCCAAATCCCAGGACACTCCACTGAACAGTTTCTCCCAGCCTTTCTGGGCAGGAGGAAGCTGTGGCGATGAGATGATTAATGGGTATTTTTGTTGACATATGCCGGTGCTCAGTCCTCTCGGCTTTCTGCATTCATCTCTAAATCACTGGCCCGTGGCATTCCACTTTCCACATTTTTCCCCCCTAAAAAGTGTGCCTGACATAAAGACTATAAATTTGTTTCCGTTACTCTCTAATGCAACAGTCCAGCCTCTTTATGGACCGCTCTGTACTCATGAACTCTGGTATTTAAAGGCCAAAGGTAGCATATATTTGAGAAGAACTGTAAGATAGCCTTGAGTACAGTGAGGAATGTGTACATTTATTTACCTTCTGCATTAAGTACATCTACTTCGTTGCTCTTTTTTTTTTTGGTATTTATGATTTACAGAACACGAAGTACTCAAGGATCTCAGGGAGACAACTTTCCCCAGCATAAACTGGGTTCCGTAAAAATATCAGGGTTATCTGGATGCTTTCCTTTCAGAGATCCTATTGCCACAAACACGGATCATTTCTTTCTGGGCTTTGCAAACCCTCACAAACGCTCTCCTCCCTAAGACCCCTTCACCGTTTTCCTTCTGGTCTCCTGCTGCCGGGGCTGCTCCCCGCACCCAGGGACCCGGCATCTCACAGCAGCTTACAGGGCCGTAGCAAATGACTAATGACTGTTAAATTAAATTATATAAGACCGATTACAGCCTATGCCTGGCACATTTCCAAGGACCGTGCCACGGTCTGCAATAACGAGGAACGTGCGTGGTGCCCTGTTATTCTTTCCGGGAAAGCCATAGCGTTGCCTGCTTGCTTCTGGCTCAAGGCACGGTTATTGCTCAACCGCAGAGTAGCACTGAAAATTTGAAAATACCAAGGTCAAAGTAAATAAAGGAGTTGTTAAGCCATAATCTTTAAGGACACTTTAAAGGTTCTTGTAGGCAAAGAGTGTATATAATATTTGCTCAGGAGTAGGTGTGTACCCGATAAATGAGACGTTCTGCCGTTTAAAACAGCAATCTGATAACTCCTTCCCCCCCACCCTACCTATCGGTCCTTTTCATTATATCCTTCATGAATTTTTAAGCCTCAGCTACAGTATAATTGCAGACAATAAATCGGGTTTTATAATTGCCAAGTTTATTTTTGCTTTTCAACTGTAGGTTTTTGAGGGTAAATATTTGTCATTTCCAAAGGTTAGCTGGCAGCTGAAGAAACCACAACAGTATCACCAGTCCAGGGCGGGGAAATCCAGCTCCGCTGGAGTCCCCTCGCTGGGTTTCGATCCCAGTCAGCACATGGGACACCGGGACAGGCGGCTGTTAATTCCTACGTGCGTGGAAGTCACGTGCAAAATATTGCTATGTAGTGCAGGGTGGTAAATCAGCGTTTTAATGATGCTGCTTACAAATGGAAAAGAAAGCAAAAAGATCAAGCTTGTGGAAGGTTTCTCTTGGTCCCAGGCTCGCGGTGCCCAGGCAGCCCTTCTCCCACTGGAGCTCCCTTGGCTGTGGAAGCCCCAGGTGGGGTGGCCGCGGCACACGAGACGGGGACTGTCCCCAAACCTCGCACTGAGGGTCTCGCCCGTGTATCCACCGCGAAGTGCCATCCAACGCTGTCTGTAGCTGCTTTCTCTGCTGCTTGGCTGCTCCTCTCACCTTCCTGGAGGTGGATCTCCTACTACCTGTGCTACAACGAGGTGCAGACTGGGGTGGAAGGAGGAAAATGGGGTCTAAAACCAACGCTCAGCGCAGCAGCCCAGGAGGGAGCAGTAGCTGCAGCTGCTGCGTGTCGTATAATTAGTCCTGCAGCCCTTTTCTTCCTGCCGTTGCCATAGTATGGAAGCACTTGGTCCTGTTTTCATGCATTTCTTTCAAAATCGGTCCAACGCGCTCCCATCTGAGCTCTGGAGTCTCATTTCTGTGCTCGGTGCATAGTGATGTGGCTGCACTTTATGGCTCAGCACATTCCTGCTGCAGCACGTCACAAATATTTATCCTGTTGTAAATTTGCCACAAAAATCATCCAGATTAACACCACTTAGTGTCACCTTGGGCCTGCACCCGAGGTGCAAGCCCAAAAACCTTCAAATCGCCGGCCGCCGATGCAAGGCAGGTCGACACCTTGGTAGCTCATATGGGAGCAGCCAGGAGGGACGGAATCCGTGGAGATGGGCGGGCAGCCCTTATAAAAATGACCAACCTTTACAAGACATCTCTTTGCTGCTTTTATTAAAAAGTATAGCCAGCTACATTCTCATTTTTAATTGCCTATGAGCTTGCTGCTGTATTTTGCATAACAGCCTTTGTAAATTTAATATGCTTGCCTCACCACGGTGTTGCCACTGCCATTAAATTTTCCATTAGGAAAAAAATTGTGTGAAAGCATTGTCTAAAACATAAAAAGCTCCAGCCCCAGTAGGGTTGGGTGTAAAACTCAGCTGAAACGTGACCGAAACAGGACCAAATCTCTCTCTGAGCAGTGGGTTTAGCTCACTGACCGCAGGAGAATAGAAGAGCTTTAAGTGCTTAATATTTCCCCTGAAGGGGCTGAGGAATGCCAGAAATACCCACCACATCTAGTAGGAAAAGAGAGCATTTGGCTACATGTGTCAGGTGTAAAACACTTCACAGACTTCAGGAGAAAGGTATGCGAGTCTCAGTGAGCGCTGTTGAAAACTATGCTATTAAAGGTACCAGAGTTCACTGCCTGCAGCTAGTTATGCAGTTTGTGGAGAGGCTTTCTAATCTTTTAATTTTATATAATTATATTTACTTGGGAATGGAAGGGGTGGGGAAAATTTGGGGATTACTTTGGCAAAGATTTTGGAATCGTAGTCGCCTCTAAGTTAACTGCCAATATTAATCTATCCTTTAATATTTTGAAACAACACTCCAGGTATGTCAAATCCCTGAAACCACAAAAATGTTGTCAGAGCAAAATTAAATATATGTGCACAGCAATAAGTATTTTAAGAGAGAGAAAGGCTGTGTTGCCTGCAGTGGCTTTGCTGCTTTATTGCCTTCACAGTTGCAAAATAAAAATACTCGTATTAGAATTTGGTGAAAATTTTCCCTCCAAATGAAATTTTCTCAGGAATTCTGATTTTTAGATAAATGGAGTTTTATACAAAAGTCTTTCAGCAGGGAATTTTTTCCCATAATGCACAAGGCTGACTATAACACGTCCTGGTCAGAGAACCAAATCCTCAGGGAAGGAGAGCACGAGTGACCCAGCTACTGGTCCTGCAGGGCACCACGTTGCCTGCTGGCCAGGCCAAATGGTCAGAGACTTTTGATAACTGTATTTCTGATCTTTGAAAAGATTAAAGCCTTTGGGGGAAAAAAGATTGTAGTCTTGCAATAGACACAAATTATATTTATGCAAAAGAAGTAGGCAAGGAAAACTTCATACCACCTATTTTAGGGCACCCTTTCTGATTTGTGAGAATGGCCATTTCTCCCAGTGTGTCCCAGTACACTTCCAGTCCATCATTCTGCTGCAAGGGACTGTGCGGGTGGAAAAAATTGCAGCCGGTGTTTCTGACACACACTCCGCAAACCTGTGTCCCAGGGTATATGCAAGAGCATATCTCTGAGCCGTTGCTGTCCCCATTCTTTTTTTTTAATGTTTTGAAATGAGGGCTTTAAAAGAAAATCAGACAGAGACAGAGGGCTACTTTTTGCTCAGCCTCCACTTTAATTATAATGACTGTTCTGAGGGGTTTTTTTAACCTCCTGGATGCAAGACAGTTGTTATTACTTTAGAAAGCAATTACGGTGTGATTCATTTTTGCAATGAAGCACCCACAGCTGCTTAAACATCATTGTAAGCCATGCACGTCCCCGGGTACTTGGCTGGACTGGAGTCCAGATGCTATAAGGAAAGTAATAAAGGCCTGTTTGGCAAAACATAACACGAAACCAGGCTAGGTTGACTAATTAAGAAAGCTCATAGAAGTTAAAGTCATACAGTCTCTAAAGGGAGATTCTGGTCAGATTTATATGAGCGAGAGGGGAAAAAAAATAAAGCCCAGAAACATCACTGTCCCTAGGCAGAGCGGATGTTTCACAGGCATCTCCCGCGCCTTCATCCCGCAGAGTTTTTCAGAGTTTTTGCACTCACAGGTGCTCTCCCTGCCCCCGTCCCGCCATGTCCCCCACAGCTTGCTCCTGCCACCCCCTGGGATCGGCCGCGCTCCCCTTGGGTCCCCGCACCTTCTGCGACCCCAGCACCGGTGACTGTCCCTGCAAACCCGGTGTGGCCGGACCCCGCTGCGACCGCTGCCTCCCCGGCTACTGGGGCTTCGGTACCTACGGCTGCCGACCCTGCGACTGCGCCCGTACCTGCGACCCCCGCACCGGCGACTGCCGCAGCAGTGGGTGAGTTGGGGGGGGTCCTGGCCACCCCCTTTCCCAGCCTCGCCATACCCCGGGATCCCAGGGAAGGTGCTGTGCTGAGCCTATTTGTGCTGGAAAATAGCTGTCGTATGAAATATTTGGGGTTTGGTAGGGTCAGCAACTGGGGATAGAGCAGCGGGTGAGGCTGCGGTTTGCCTGGGTGCCTGGCACACCGCGGCAGGGCATTGGTGATGTTGGATTATTGGCTCTGGGTGCTGGTGTTAATGTATCGGGTGTTCGCCATAAACTTCACAGTTCCTTTCTCTCCACGAGCAAAATATGGGCCTCAGGGACATCTGAACGAGAGGAGACCAAAGGCTTGGTATCGTGGCTGTTGCAACTCAGCTTGCATTGCATGTGTGGGACTTAGAGTCAAGCTCTGACTTCTAGAAGACAGCACACTTTAATAATACCCCACTGTCCTGATCTTATATGTTGCTTTTTTTTACCACACTGGGGATATTTAGAGCATATATATCCCTATAATGTATTTTAAACCCCAAATGGATTCACGACCCATTCTGACAACCCTCAGCCTGTTCACTTTCCAAAACCGCCCCTTGCATTCGACGTCACTTGCAGCCACGTCGTGCCCAGAGGACAGGTTGATATTAGCCCTGCTTTCCACCAGCTCCAGGAGGAGGGCTGACCATCTCCCTTTCCCCCCCTGACAGCTCGGACATGACCTGGCACAACGAAGCACCTCCTTTCCAGGCGATCCTCAACGAAAGCGAGCCCGCCTGGGGCTGGGAGGACGAGCAGGGCTTCTCGGCGCTCCGGCACTCTGGTAGGACGGCGGTTTCACCCGTGTTTCCCTGCCCCATCCCTCCCTCCAGCAGCCAGTGCATATACCATCTTCTCCACCGGCTTGTAATTAGTGCCCTGGCAATTGCAGGAGGGGGTGGATATTCCCCCATTAACATCCCGTGTGACCACCTCCTTCTCCTCCACCAGCCGGAGGAGCCTTACGGCTTGTCCCATCAACGCGAGGACACGCAAACCCTTTAGGCAGATGCTCCATCCTAAAAGCCTGCGCCCAGTGTTCAGCTGTCAGTAAGGCAGGAGTTGTCTGCCTGAATTTGCAGTCCCAGCTGTGTATTTCAAGGCTGAATACTGTCCTGTTTTACTTGGCCATCATGTTTTAAACATGTCTTTGTATTCACTAGAACTACTACATGGTGGACAAACCAGCAACGTTATTTAGAGGGTGGGGTGTGCCACTTCACTGGCAGGTATTTTGGAAATATAGAATTTATTTCCCCGATACCCACAACAATTTTGGCATCAATCGCAGCTCACGATTCAATCTGAGATGGCCTAGCATTTCAGCTACGGCTTCAGCTGGGGAAATTATTTCCTTCCAGTTCCCCCAGTCTGGAGGAGGCGGGTACTGCGTGAGGGTGCTGCGAGGCAGGTCGGCCCCACGGCACAGCCTCGAGCGATAAGGCGATAATAATTGCCTTGCAATCCCTGCATGCAAGCAGGCAAGCGTTATTTCCTCCATTTTTCAGAAAGCAGCATGATAAAAATCTCGAAGATACAATAATTGAGTTAATTGAGGGGAAAGCTCCATCATTTGTCTGGGCAACTTCATTTTAAACGTAAATAAGTATATCGTGTTATTCTTTGTTCTAAGATCACGGAAGTCATTAATCTGCCTTAACCTCTGCAACATTTCCTTTTAAAATTTTGTCTGGTACATTACGGTGTGGAAAATACCATGGGGAACAACATCAGTGTTATTTGCATCCCAAGGCAAAATAATACGGCCTTTGTTTCCCTTCTCTTCAAATTGTAAACAAGGAATAATTGCCCTTGGACTAAGATTGTATATTCAGCCTGGATCTGAAAATAGGGCTTTTTTTGCACGGGGCTTGGTGACCATGTGAAAACCTCTGGCAGGTCTCAGGCTCTGCCCGCGAATGCTCCTGTCTTTTAAGTCCAATCCACAGCCGTTTGCGTCCTTCTCTTTCCCCAGGTAAATGCGAATGTAAAGAGCAAGTTTTAGGAAATCGCAAGGTCTTCTGTGGGATGAAGTACACCTACGGTGAGTTGTGGGGTAAGATGTCAGGGGTGTAAAGGGAGGTGCTGCGAGGCCATGCAAGCGTGTAACCATGGGCTACATAGTCTAAGGGCAGATCTTTGACCTTTCCAAAATGTATACATATCATGGTGCCAAGTCAAGGTGGATGAAGCCTCTTGCTCTGTTACCCACCTCTCTTGCTACCAAAATACCCTTGTGCCAAAATCACGGGAGGACGAGAGCTGGAAGTGTCCCTGAGAGGTTATTTAGGTCCAAGACAGGCTGTAAAGCACTGTTACCAAACACCGAAACTCTGTCTGTAGACCAGGTGCCCCAAGCACAGTCTAGAAATCACTAAATCTGAATTACACTGAATTCCGCTGGGAACTTCCCCCTGTCAACAAAGTTCAGCTGTTGCAATGGGGTGATGTATGTTGTCTACGTGTCTACTGGATTTAAATGAACGAGAGGAGGCACTTTGTTTCCCACACAAGACCTCTCTGGTGTGTGCCAGTGAACCTCCTCCTTCATACCGCAGCAGAGCAAGGAATGCTCTGCGTAGCACTCCCTTCCTTCACGGTCTTCCAGGGGTTTCTTGCACCTGTTTCATCTCACACTGAAGTTGAAAATGCACAGGGAGATAACCCATACCTCTGCAGGCTGCAGAGCAACCCACAAAGGGAAGTTCAAGTGGCCGCCAGCTGTTGAAGTACAGCCCTGGCTTAGCGATATTAGGAAAAAATCTGATTCTGCTTTGCTTTGCTCCCTGGCCGCAATAGTGAATGTGTTTAATGTTGCAAAAGATAAGAAATAAATTTAAAAAAACATCACAAAAAAAACTGAGTTCATAAATCTTATCTAGAGTGCACTCAGGCTTCCCACCATTTCATCACTCAACATGCAAAGGTGTCAGCTAAGCTGGAGAGAGATGAATTATGGAGCTCATCACGAGCTTCAGGAGGCCGTGCTGTAGGAGGAGAGGTTCTCCTGAGCCTTCTGGTGTGCAGTGCTGAATAAAGCACCACGATCCGGTGATACCTACCAGTGTAGGCATCGGCACGGTCATGGGGAGGCTCCCGCGTGGGACCCGAGCCCTGAGCCTCCACCATCCATGGGCTCAGCAGGTGGGATACCAGGCAGCGGCAGTGTGCCTGCAGGTATCTGTGAGCTCAAAATTCTCCGTGTTTTGCCTCAGTCCCCACCAACGTCTCGGCCTCCACCGCTGCATTTGGATTTGGCCCTTCTGCAAAGCGGGAATGCTCACCAGGGTGGGATGAGGGCTAACTCCACTGTAACGAAGTAATTGCCCTCACTGCTTCACCCAGACGCCTGCACTAGACAAAAAAAGAGCGCTGTAAATAGTTTATATATTCCTGGTTTTGAATTCGTGTCTTCCCAGTGATCAAGGCGAAGATCCTGTCAGCTCATGACAAAGGCTCCCACGCAGAAGTCAATGTGAAGATCAAGAAAGTCTTGAAATCTACAAAGCTGAAGATCCTCCGGGGCAAGAGGACCCTCTACCCCGAATCCTGGACTAACAGAGGCTGCACTTGTCCCATCCTCAATCCCGGTAGGTTTGACTCCCTGAGCAGTACATCCCCACCACGTGTACACAGGTTTCATTCCCACCCCTCTGTCCCCTCATGCCAAGGAGCTGAGATTGCAGCCCGGTGTTGATCAAAAATTACTGGCTGTTACATCATTTGGATTCCAACAGCAATCTCCATCAAATTTGAGTTTTGTAGAGAAAAACTTGGTTCATTCTACAGACTTTCAAACATCTGATTCTCTTTATGAAGCATAATAACATTCTTACAGCTTTACCAGTCTCAGTGTGTTCCCAGAGGGAGGGAGGTACACATCACGCCACGACTACATGACATATCTTTTCAAAACTAATGCTAATTTGAATCCATAAAAGCACATTTAAGTCTAATTTGAGTCATGATATTGTATTGAAGTTCTAATCTAAACTCAAGGGAAGATGTCCCTTTGAAAGTAACACTAATTTGCATCTGCAAGATTTGGAAAAGTTTCTCTTATGCAGTGAGAGGAGAGCTTTGGCTTCACAGTTTTTTCTCATCTTCTTGTACTGAAATGGAGTATAACCAGTGGTGGCTAAACAGTGCATGCACTCTCCAGTATGGTTGAGGAGATGCAGACACAAGGTTTTCTTCAACAGAGCAAAACTAAGCTCCAGCTGACACACCTTTCTTTACAACTCCGAGATAAACCAACAGTTACCAACCAATTCAGATAAAGGAGGGTTTTTTCCATAAGGCGCACACATCACTTGGAAATCACCAATCGAAACATCAACTTCAGTGCTGAGATGTCCCTTACGTGTGCAGCACTGTGAACTTCTTTTGGGGGGAAAGGGCTGTCTGCGAGGCTGGATCACACAGACAGGTTATTCATTGATGAGGTGTTTGCAGTCTTCTTTCACCTCCACCGGAGGGACTGGCTTTGGCTTTGAAGGCACGCTGCCGAAATTGCACAGCCGTGGTCAGGAAGACTTGTCAGGTGCAAGGGTCGGATGAATCAGCAGCGTTAGGCAGGACTTTACTGTTTAAGTGCAGTAAGACTTTGCATGTTGGTAAAACACCATAAAGCTGTAATTAAACAGATACAGCTGTTTTCTTTTTCTGCGGAAAAAACAATGCAAACGCAAGCAACAAAAGCCCAGATGCCGCTGCCCGAATATGAACCTGGAGGAATGCCATGGAAGCTGTCGGACACCCACACTTGACACCCAGCTTTGTGACCCCACTAACTTCAGAGGAGCTTCACTGCTTTTCCCCAGCGGAGGAAAAGACAGCCGGAATCACCGAATCAATGAAGATCGCTTGAACACCAGCAGAAGGGTGGAGGTGCAATTGTCTTTAAGGACAATCCAGGCGTCTGACACATCAGGTGTTACTCCCTTGCCAGCTCTCATGATTTACACTGCAAAGCTTGGTGTTGTCTTGAAATGCAGCTGCTGGAGTCTAAGGCGTATAAATTATACTCAGCTTTCATGTTGGAAAGAAATTGTGAAGTTTGGTCCTAATGGGGAACTTGAAAACATCGAGTGCATCTTTAAGATCTAATCATTTCACAGGGGAAGAAAAAGGATCCCAGGTATTTTTTGAAATCTCATTATTTTCTTCAGCTACCACATTCATTTCTGAATGGTTGGCAATACTATATTAGCAGATTTAACCCTCTCTCAGAGTAAGAGCTTCTGACCTCCAGATGAATAAACCGACAACAGCCGGATAAAAAGTCAAGCTGACAGAAAACAATTTCCTGACATATAGCTATAAGGGAAATCACATCTCCCAAAAACATAGAGGAGATCAAATATAAAAATAAAAGAAAAAAAGACATGGTTTTATTCTGTTTCACCGTGCTAAAGGGATACCAAAAGGAGGTTAGGCTTTTAAAGGCTCTGGCAAGAAATAAAAGCTCCAAGCATTTATCAAATCTCTACGGGCTGTTTTCGGATTATAAATGTGCTTAAGTTCCTATGAGGGGATATTCTCTACCCTTGCACACCTTCCCCTCCACACACACCCACAGGGGCAGGTTGGGCTTCTTGGGGGGGACACTGAGCGGAAAGATTTAAAAGTTTCTGCTGTTTGCAAGGGAGCAGGAGCCCCTTCCCCTCCTCGGCTCTGCCCAGCCCAGACACAAAGAAGCAGAGAGCTGCCTGCCGGCAACGCAGGGCAAAACGCACAGTCTGAAGTCCTGGCTTGTGTCATCTCAGTCGTTTGAGTCATTTTAATTTTAAAATTCTTTAACATCAGGTTGAAAATCTAGAATATCTAGAAAGCCCTATGGAATCAGCAACCGCAGCAATATTTGCTTGCTCTCTGAGGGTGCATGCCACATTTCTCTCTTCTCAAGGGAGATAGATTTAGGAGCCCTTGAAAAGTCGTGCTTGTAGCAGCAGGATTGATGTGGCCAAAATGAATGTCTTGCAAAGGGCGATACTGCCACACACATATCCTGTGTGTACTTGGCAGAAGAGAGGATGTGTGTGCCCAAAAACTCAGGTGAAGTAGACAACAAATTGTACTGAATTAAAGAAAAACAAGCTTGACCTTTAACTAGGGGACACTCTCCCTTTATTCTGAACTACAAAATGAAAACGCGAGCAGATTCCCCGCTGCAGCCAGGATGGAGTGGGACGACTGAGAGCGCTGGAGAAGACCCATCTCCCCCAGGCTAGTTCGTTCCACCACGTGGTGCTCCCCAGACCCGTGCAAGGAGAAGGGGGTACGGGGGGGGTCTCGTGCTTGCTGTATCCCAAGCATTCTCCAGCGGAATGCTGGCCCTGGCAGGGAGCTCCTCCTGCCGTGGGAGGGCTTATCCTCCTTGTTATCCCCATTTCTGTCATGTTCGTGGCCCGTTTAGGCTGTTGGGATCTGTGGCAGTGTTTCTTTAGCTAATTCAAGCCAAAGGCTTCCCTCCGTCCCCCCAATTAGCAGTTATTGCCTGGCTCCAAGCGCAGACCTGGATGGCTGGGGCGAGCCCTGCGGCAGGGGACGGTGTTCCAGCCCTTTCTGGCAGCTCCTGGACACCAGTCGAGGCTTTGCCAGATGCTGCTGTCGTGTCCCTAAAACATCTGGTGGAGGCAGAACTTAATGCAGCTCTTCTCAGTGTGACTGCCACCCCCCCAGGCTCTTCTGGGGTGCTCGCACCGGCAAATCTAGTATTGCCTCTTGTCAGGGTCCCGTGTGCCTTTGCCTGCAAGGGGCCACTGGATATTTTGAGCAAGACACCGGCACTAGGTCATCCTGCACTGTCATTACTGGAATGTGTTGAACTGACCGATTTCCAGGCCCAGGTGTATTCAGGGAGGGCTGAGGCAGGTGCCTGCCAAATGAAGGTAATAGCAGTTCCCAAACGAGGTATAAAAACTTGTGGTGCAGCCCCCAGAGTTCAGCTTCCATTTATATTTATATACATTTATATATTTAGAAGCTAATAAAATCAAAGTTTGTATACTGCATCTCACTGACAGATGCGCCATGGGTCTTTTTTCCAGAGATATAGATAGAGATATAGATATACAGATATATGAGAGAGTCAATATGTATCAATATTTTTTTGTATAAGTGCTTTTTGACATGGGGCTAGATATCCAGGCTGATGCTGACTTTGCAGTGTCAGTAGGCTTCTTAAGCATGGTGCTGTGCAGTCCCTGACCACTTTGCTGGTTTGCAGGCTTGGAGTACCTCGTGGCAGGACATGAGGACATCCGAACGGGCAGACTCATCGTCAACATGAAAAGTTTTGTCCATCAGTGGAAGTCGGCTCTTGGAAGAAAGGTCCTGGAGATTTTGAAAAGAGACTGCAACTAGAGGCGCGCGACTGCCTAGGGCACTTCTTTATGCACAAAATGCAACAGCCTTCACAGAGAGAAGACCTCTAGGATGAAAACTGGAATGTAAGAAAATAGTGCCAAAACGTGTAGCGAGGCATTCAGAGTTGTAGGCGCTGTCTAATTTAACCCTTCCTGGCCAATGTTCATTCACTCGCCTGTAGCTTCCTTGCCGGGGGCTCGCCTGAGCCCACCTCATCATTATGTTGTGGGAAACAAGAGGAAGGGCCATGTTGGAGCAACTCCTATGAAGCCACCGATCGCCCCAGACTAAATTGCCACTCTAGAGAAGGAAAGAATGCCCATGAGCTACAGCTGAGAAGCAAACCACTGCTGCCAGTGCCACCAGCGCAGATCCTGGGCTACTACCAGAGGCTCCCAGTGGATACTGTGGGGAAGGCGGTGGGAAGATGCTGGCAGCAGCGTGGCAGTGACGACCGCTCTTTAGAAACACCCCGTCGTGTTAGGACACAGCAAAGAGAACCCAACGCCACTTGCTTTTAACCTGGTCACCCCGCTGAGGGTTTCAGGGGCTAAATTCTCTGCTGGTGCTGGCGAGGACGGAGCTGCTGGAGCGAATGGAATCCCTCTGCCTTGGCACAAGCGCGACGCAGGGCAGAGGCCGGCTGTCCACCCACTTCATGCCGCAGAGAAGAGCCAGGTCCGGAGGGTGCAGCATCCCTGAGCTTTTGTCCTTGAAGTGTTAAAAAATGAACCTAGCCCTAGTGTAAATATTTCAATGTATAAAGCACTTTACTGCCTGCCACTTCACGGTGCAGGAAGTCTAATTGTGTTGGGGAAAGAAGAGGTTGAAGGTGGCACATGAAAAAACTCCCTGAAACAGAAGCACTCCTGAAGACCCCCCCAGTTGGACGGCGTTAATGGTATAAAGGGAACGGCCAGCCTGGCACTGGCCACTCAGAGTATCTGAGGATGCAATCTGAAAGATAAAAGTATTTGCACTGAAGTCCCAGCTTCAGACCAGCACTTGGACCCCGTGGGCAGGACTCCAGCGAGATGTCGCAAACAGTGTGAGAAGAAGAAGAGACTTTGAGGTAAAAAATGCAACTGCCAGAGGAGAAAAACTCTGCCTGCAGGAAAAGGAGTGGGTGCGGAGAATGGAAAGGACTCGCGTTCGCGTATCACAACCCAGCGATTCATGGTGGGCCTGGAGTTTATTTTATTTTTATGTTAGTATTTAAAACTGAACATTTTATTTGTTTTCCTCTGTGTTATTGTTTGCAGTATATACACATTATACTTCCTCATTAACACCAGTATGGAATATAGAAGTTTACTGCAGTTTTCAGCACTAAAATATATCTTTTCTGTAAAGCATCTTTAAATCACATTGCAAAGAGTGTATTCTGTTCATGAGTGTGAGGGGAAAGAAAAGGAAGACATACAACACCAGAAAAGTCACAAGTCTACCAATCCACTTTACGTATGTGTTTTTTCTTGCAAGGTCCTGTGGACTCACAAAAAAAAAGTTACTATTTTGGTAATTTGTTTTTATATCTCATGTATGTAATAAATATAATATGATTTCAACATCTTCATCTCCTGTTACTGCTTACACCACTGGCAATGCAGACTTCATGCCTTCACTAAAGAGTGCAGCGAAGATGGTGCTGGGTGAGGAGAAGCTGCCGCGGGAGATATTTTCTTCTCTGGGAGGGTAACATTCACCATGTGGTGAAAAAGCCAAGTAGCATGGACGGCTCAGAGAAATCCCATTTCACCTCTGGTTTGGGAGGCTTCTAAGCTCTTCTTATAAAAAGGGGAATTGTACCTAAATATTTTCAGGGCTGGCCAGATCCTTGTATCCACACAGGCCTGATGGCTGAGCTGCAGAGCAGTTACCCATAAGAGCAAGCTGGGGACGGTGGAAATCAGGCTCACTCCTTACATTTGAAACTGTAAAGGCAAAGTGGTTAATTAGTGATTGCCGGGGCACCGCGCTGCAGCAGCACCCATCTCCCGGCGGAGGAGAGGGCAGGGAAAGGCTCCTGGTGTGGAGACACTTGGAGACTAAAAGCCTCCAATATCTCCATTTTGATTTAAAACTTGAGAGTTTTACCTGCTGGAGGTATTTTTAGCTTAATCTTATTTTAATGCCATTAAAACAACATTTGCAATGGCTCATGGATTAACGTGGCATCGTGAAAGCTGGAGGGCATGAGGGGAGAGGTCCGCAGTCCCGGCTGGCTTGAGCACCACAGGGAACCGGGATGGCTCCGGCGGCAGACGCTGCTTATGGCACCTTGTCTGAGCCCTCTCGTAGCCTTGGGTCTGGGCACTGATGGTTTTACAAAGGAAAGGGTTTAACTACCCTAGGGCAAATCTGCCCATGAGAGATTTCTGTGAGGGGATTTTGGCTGGAAGGAGAAATGTCCCTCTACAGAGAGGGCAAGCTGGATATCCCTCCATCCATATGAGATCACCTCACAGTGACAAGATGGCCAGCCAAGCCCTTCCCAGTGAGAAAAGCTTGTTTGGACAGTAAATCTTTGCAACTGAGCGAGTTTATGGAAGCAGCCTGCTTGGTTTATCTGTTTAATCCCATCTGTTACATGTATGAGAATAGGATGTCTGTCCCTACCCACCCGAGGAGGAGATTTATCACCTGACAACTCCAGGAGTACCAATGCCTTGACCAGTCCAGCTGTGTGACAAAAATTGCTGGCAGGAAAACCAACCTGGTCATCATCAGAGTTGGCAGCAGCATCCACAAAAGGGTCTTTTCTTCCAGACGTACCCCCCCGGCCTTACAGACAAGAGTCGCTGATGCTGGCAGCTGCCCAGAGACCCAGCAGCCCCTCTCTGGACTGTGCTGGTCCTGGCAAGAGGAGAGCAGAGGTGAGTGCCGCTGGGGTTTCAGGGACCAAATTGGTGATGGTGGCACCGGGAGCTGCAGCAGCTCTCCCCAGAGCATCCCTCATGCTTCACCTGCACATAAAGACCTGAAGAAAGCACGGTAGGTAGAGTCTTCAACCATCCCGGCTTCCAACGCAGGAGGCTAGGTGTAAGCAGTGGCTGGGGGTCAGTGATAGGGGCTGGGGCTGGCTGGCAGAGCCCCCACGCTCCTGGTTGTGCGTCAGCATTGCAGGAGTGACTCTCGGCTGGTGACGTGCTCTTGGTTTGGGGGAAGTAAAGCCGGTGTCTTGGAGCCAGCTACCACCACAACACAGACCCTAAGTATACGTGGCAGAGTCCTTCCAGTGTATCGACATAGGATCCAAATCTGTATTCCCCCGAGGCACTCGCAGAAGTCCTCTTTCGCTCTTTCTGGTGGGTTCGCACATGAGCTCTCAGCAGGGGCTTTGGAGCAGAGCGGGGAACACCCAGCCCCAACAACAAGTTTTCAGTCCCTCTTTGCACCCCCCGAGCCCAAATCCTGTGCCGTGAGGGTGGTCAGGACCAGGCACTGAGCCAAATACAGAACACTGCTGCGCCAGCGAGGGTTTCTCCACTGTCCTCTGCCACCACTGCTGCTTGTGGAAGAAAGCAAGATGAGCCACCCAGATCTGCCCCTTAGTTTTCGCTAACCTGAAGCCGGGTGCTTGGAGGAGGCTGTACTCAGAGATGTCCCACATCGTCCCTCAGAGAGGTCACCTTACGCACCCGACTGCTCGCTAGTAAACATCTCCAAACGGGGGGAGTGCCAGCTGTGGGATGGGTACCATTGCCCAGCCTGTGGAATGGGTACCATTGCCCAGCCCATTCATCAGGAAGCAGGAGGTGACCTGACAGAGGCATTTTGATGAAACATCTGGTTTTATTCTGCTAAAGAGCATTTTTTTCTCTTCGGACCACCTCAACAGACACCAGCCATGCCTACAGGCTGCCAGGAGGGATGGGGGAGAAGTTGCCTGCAGCCCCGGCCGCATCCTTCCCTGCAGCCCTGTAGGGCAACTGGGCAGCACATGGAACCCAGCAACATGTCCCCCACCTCCCAGGAGCTGCTACTGGTGGAGACCTCCTCTGTCCTCGACACCTCCCAGACCAAAAGCCACGGCAAAAGCTGGGAGAGGGCTCAGGACTGTGCCGGCTGCTCGTGCATGGGGCCCATTTGTCCAGCCTTTGCTCGCCCCAGAGGAATGTGATCTTGCAGTCGCAGTGGAAAATTACAGGCGTGTTTAATATAGTTGCTCCGGCAGGCTAAATCTTCTGGGATATGACCATGTTGCTGAGAATGACTGAACATCTGGTACTACCGGCCTGCCTAAATGGAAAGCCGGGCTGGTATGGGTAAACATAACAACTCGGGAACAAATAGCTGCAGTGTTTTGGGGGTTTTTTTAATCTTTATTTTTAGTTATCGTATTGACTTCAGTATCAAGACTGGATAGAATAAACATCTCAAAAATGTCCGGTGGCTGCTGCCCCAGCATCCAGAGGAGACATCTCTCTGATAAGGCAGGAGGAGATCGGCTGTCTGTGGGTCTTCTGGGCTGATGTGTTGATTTTTCGATGACGGTGTTTTCAAAGCATGCCCTTGCCCAGAGGTCACAGCTTCTTGCAGCTCTTTTCCCACAGTTCAGCACAGAAACATCATGAATGCCTTTTATTGCTTCAAGGGAAGGCAGTGAGGCCTCGGCAAGCCTCACAGGCTGGGAAATACACTATATATGGGAAATTTGTTGGCATATTGAAAATGTTAGTGTGGCCGAGAGGCCAACGTGCCACTGCAGGCATCAGGAGAGCTGTTCTCTGTGCCCAGCCCAGCTCCAGGTTGTGCCCTTCTCCTCACTTCTCCATCACTCTGGTGGGTCCTTTGGAGCAAAAATAATGCTAGGCTGCTTGCAGGTGTGATGTGCTCACGGGTGTGATGTGCTCACGGGTGTGATGCGCTCATGGGTATGCTTAAGCCCAACTGATGCACGTGGCCCAGGGAAAATTTTGTCATGCCCAAGCCTTGTTCCCTGCAATGCAATCTGCAGTTCAAGGCATCTCCAAGCTTTACCTGGACGCTTTCTT